TGCCATCCCCGCAATAATCGAATCACTTCAGTATCGGATAGTATTGCCTCACACTATGTCTGCCGCATAAGTTCTTGAATCCATCAAGAAAGAGTGAATATATACTTGTCTCGATGAGCGTGCGCAATATATGCGTGGATGGATGACACTGGGGAAACATGCTAAGCGCGCGTCGTGACCTCTAGCGCCCTCTCTCGTGGTGATTCCTGTTCTCCCTAGTTTGCCTCACTGTGTAATGTCAGCAGACAATGTAGCGCAGCGCCGGCGTGTTGCGGCTCTCCGCGCCAAGAATCGCATGTGATCAAAATGTTTATTTTATTTTATTATTTACAAATACAGCTGTCCCATGTCTGGGACATTGCAGGAGCGGGTACAGAAAAATCAACGAAAGCACAGAAACAAACAATAGTGCGCACAAATTTATGTGACTAACACATAAAATTTTCCCCGAACTCTACAGTGTTCATTCTACGCAATGCACCATCAAACTTGTTCCAAACTTCCACCACACGCGGAAAAAAAAGAGAATTTGAAATAATCCAAACGAGACCTAAAGGGTACAAGGTTCAAAGCGTCTATACTACGTGTTGTACGCGCTGGTATATCAGCGAAAGATAAGGTCCCGATTAGTGAATAGCGCGCTAACCGCGGCTCTACGTCGAACAGCAGGCGCCGGTATCTTCTGAGCGAGTGAGCAAGATTCTCTGCGAAAAGGGAGCCTAAAAAAAAATTGCAACTTCATGTTCCACTTGTAAGCTTCCCTTCCCGCCCACGATGGCAAAGTTTGGCTCATATCTATGTTTCGTAGCAGTGTCCGCCTTTTCGCAGAAGACTCGCTGGGCGCCGCCATAGTCCCATTGGGCTGGGATAAAAAGGCGTGACCCTCTGAAAAATGCACTGCCGATGCTGTTGACGTGAGCCATTGTGCTGCCGTGCCACGCCCCCATCTCTCCTCTGGCGGTACAGGTGCATGAACCTTTCAAACGCTATACTATAGTAGCGCGTTTAATGGGAGATGGCTGTGGTAACACTACTTATAAATCATGGTGACGCCGTTTACATGAACACAGTCCAGTAATACTATGCATCAAGGGTCACATGGCTCGCGTCCCTGATCGTGCCGAAGCGACAGGAACGCATTTCCGGGGGGTGCGTTTCACCGCGAAGAATCTGATCGTGCATGAGCAGCCGCCTCGCACGGTGCGATGCACCTGCTTGGCGGTGATTTGCCTTCCTATCGCACTTCCGCCCTCTCCATGAGAGCTACATTTGCATGAACGCGATCAAGTCGGTTTCTGCTACGGAGCAGCAACCGATTTAACGGACGGAGCTGAAACCTGGAGACTTACAAGGAGGGTTCAGCTTAAATTGAGGACGACGCAGCGAGCAATGGACAGGAAAATGGTGGGTGTAACCATAAGAAACAAGAGGAACGTGGAGTGGGTTAGGGAACAAACCGGGGTTAAGGATATCACAGTTCAAATCAAGAAGAGTAAATGGACATGGATCGGGCATGTAGCACGTAGACAGGATAACCGCTGGTCATTAAGGGTAACTAACTGGATTCCTGCAGAAGGCAAGTGGGTTAGGAGGAGACAGAAGGTTAGGTGGGCAGATGAGATTAAGAAGTGCGCGTGTATAAATTGGCAGCAGCAAGCACAGGATCGAGTTGACTGGCGGAACATGGAAGGGGCTTTTGTCCTGCAGTGGACGTAGTCAGGATGATGATGATGATGATGATGATGATGATGATTAAGTCGGGTCACGCTGGCGAGTTGGACACCAAGCGAGTGTTGAAGCCAGTTTGGTCAGCCCGCTTGACAAGGTCCACATATGCTGGTTTAGCTGAGCGATGAATTAGGCTAGTTTGTAGTAGTTCGTGATTTCTTGTCACCCTACACGAATGGACGAGACAAGGAATACAGGTCAGATGGTTCGCAGACTCACAACATGCATGGTTTGTTTAGTTTGCGCACTTTATGTCCTGCAGGTGCGCAAAAGATATAGTTCAGACAGGACGCTGTATTGGTGAATGTCGCCTGGTATTCTGATAAGGTTGCCACCAATCGCAAGTAGTGTTGTAGTATGCTGTATCTGCTACGGCACACAGATATTTAATTACTAGCTAGAAGGAGTTTCGTTGGCATAGCATATAGACATTTTAGAGATGCCACATTGTTTTCTCACAGGAAAGAAAAGAAGCGAAAGAAAGCGTTACAGTTATAGAAATAAATGACCCTATGCAAATGCCCGCAATGGTCTAGTGGCTAAGGTACTCGGCTGCTGACCAGCAGGTCGCGGCATCGAATCCCGGCGGCGGCAGCTGCATTTTCGAAAAGATGGAGACAGGAAATGCTGTAGGCCCGTGTGCTCAGATTTGGGTGCACGTTAAAGAACTCCACTGTGGCGTCTCTCATAATCAGTGATTTTGGGACGTTAAACCCCACATATTATATCACCCTGTACAAATGCCTAACAGCCTTTCAGGGACATTTTCTCTAAGGGGTAACGACAGGGCCACCTGATCGCAATTTAACTAGATTCTGTGCTTTGCGCTAAAGTGTCAATGATTTTGGCTCCGCGCTGCAGTCAGGCAGCCTCTTGGATGGTGACCGCCCTCGACTGAAAGCCGTCTTGACGGCTTGGTGGCGTTAGCCACCGCCCGATCTAAAGGGTACAGCCGTATCCATCCATCCGTCGGTCACGCACATAAACGGGCGCAGGCTTCCTCGGGGGGGGGGGGGGGGGGATGACAGCGCTCCACTCTCACCCCTTATTAAGTCAGTGTATGCGGCAGACTTTGCGCCGTCATCTTAGATTACTAAATCCTTTCCCCTCCCTCGCCTCCGCAAGCAAGCCTGGTCCCGTATATAGTTCGATCGCACGGACGGCTCTCACATTTCTTCATTTACTATCTTTTTTCTTATGAGAAACGTGTGTGGGTTTCCTTTGTATCTTCGCGCTACAGTCAGCTACAAATTTAATTTTAATTCTTATACATGCATATAGCGGGCTATAATCTTACAGCCGTGGGCCTCCTGGATGCGGGGAAAGTTGTCGGCGCGTACACTACGTGCAGCAGCAGGTGGTAGCCGTATAGAGCGACCTTGCCCCAGGGCCTACGTCGGCCTCTGCCGCCGGCTGAACCGGCTGAGAGGGCGGCGTTTTGATTTGCTATGGCGCTGCTGCAGTTTCCTGCGGCGGCATAATCGGCTGCCCCCCCCCCCCCCCCTCGGGGAGGGTGTGTGTGTGTGTGAGCGAAACGTCTAACGATGAGATAAGTGCTCTGGCACAACTACCTTTCTTTTCTTTTCTCGGAGCACGTGTTGGGACACGGCTACAGTATACTGGTTTGGCGATGTGAAGTCATTTGCTGAGGCATCGGTTGTGAAATTCAGCTTTCCAATCGGGCCACCCTCCACAACTGGAAGTTCTTATAAGAGAGATCACTGTGAGCACGCGAAACATGCGTATACATTCGTCACCCAGATATACATTTTTGTGCACGCGTTACGTGACATTTAGCCCCATCCACAAGTTCTGGCCGGTTTAACTCGTTTGTACAAGTATTATACCCCTTGTAAAGCTGCTAATTTGAATTAAACTTGATATGGGGGACGATTAGAGCGACATCTGAAATATGTCGTCAGGAATGTAAAGGTATCCGTCATCAGCCAGGTTGTGCGGGCTGGTATATGTTGAGGAACGAGGATTTTGTCTCAATTACATGCTTTCCACGATTCTTCAGTGGATCGCCTACGAGAAGCCGACCGATAGGTGTGATTTCTAATATTAGAATAAAATATTGCTAAGGGAACTGTTTAGTCAGAACGTTATGCTTGTTGTTGCATGTTACACCCGCAGTTGGATGCGTTAAGATGGAGCGAGTAAGTTCTCCCCCCTCCATGGGCGTTGGCAGGATTTTGCCTGGGGGGGGGGGGGGGGGGGGGTGAGCCCCGTGTCGCATCATGGCGGTAGAGAGGGGGGAAGAACTGGTGTGGCTTTGGGTGGAGGGAAGGGGAGAGTGCTAATGTAGCACGAGGGGGGGGGGGGGGCAAGTGCCCTTTTTGCACCCTTCTCAACAGAATCGAAAGTTGGACAGTTGGATATACAAAGCGCTTGTCCTCTCTTCCTGTCCGTTTTTCGTGCGCTTTAACTGATAGGTATACCATGCACCCTTCTGCCGACGCCCATGTGACCATCTACCCGCCACCCTCTCAATCTGGTGGTGTGGAAGGAGGGGTGTGTACGACGTACACCATATAGTGAAGAAACTTATTCATTATCGAGATTGTTGAAATGAACCTTGCGTAATCATTAATTTGCAAGTTTATATCATAATAATTTATTTTAAGTCTCATACCTAGTACACAGCTAACCTGTCTCGTCTGCATTTTTCATGCTGATTTTTGCTTACCCTTTCATAACGCCATTCTTCACACATTAATAAATAATGTTGTCTCTTAAATATTTGATTCCCTTGTTTATTGGTACTTATTGGCGCCACGTAAGGTCGCCGTGAAATTCTCATAGGCACCTTATAAGGAAGCAAGAGTGTCCTTGCATTGGCGTACTGCAAAAAAAAATTTTGGCATATAATCAGCATTCCTTCACTAGTGAAGAAACTTTTAAAAACAATAGCTGTCTTCAGTTTCGTATTTGGCGCCTCGCGCTCGCTATCGGCTAAAAGCCAAGAGCCAGGAGGTCAACGTAGCCAACGTAGCTGTATTTCTTTCTGAACGCTTCATTTAATTATAGATACACGTATAAACTCTTAGTTCTAAAGTTAACGTTATGGACATAGTGACAAAAAAACGTACGAAAACTTATCTTTACCTTGTTCTTTTTCTTTCGGGCCACGGAACTTTTCTTCAGCGCTTGCCACTTTAGCAGACGACGCGCGCCGCCATGATGCGCGAGAGCCGCATCGAGATTCCGCGTTACGATGCGAGAGTTCTCCCCCTCCTCGCCTTCTTGCTCACTCGCTGCTTGTCGGAGGAGGCCAGTGTCGGTCGGCCGCATGTGTTCCTTGTTTGTGTGGCTCGCTCGCGCGTAGGATATTTTTTTTCCAGCGTGCTTTCGTCGTGCTTTTTGGCTGCGTCTGCGTTTAGAGCGCCTGGTGCTGCATTGCATGAGTGTGCGTGTGTGTTCCTATTCCCTCCGCGTCTGTGCTGCGGTCGAAACGGCACCGCCGAAGAGCCCCGGATACTCCGAACCGCCCGTGCCTGTGCTCGCCGCAAGACCTCACATTCTGCTCTTTTCTACCGCCGCACCTACGACTACTGAGGCATTAGGGTGCCCGTCTTTTATGGAATAGCTCATATCAACGCCTGGATGCACAATTAAGGTGGGTGAAAACTGTTCTTACCGTCAGCGCTGTTCACGCAGTGACAGACGCGCCAGAAGCTCCTGGTGTCGCACCATGTGTTTTGCCGCTACCCATTCGTGCTTTAAACGAGCAGCCCGGCAATGCTAAATCGAAGACGGTGAAAGGAAAACAGTCCTTTCCGTCTGGCGGCATGCAGAATAACGCTCTGAAGCTTTCCGAGGAGTTCGTGTCGGCAGAACGCTCTACTACTGCGGACCGACGCGCCCGCGCGATCCTCAAGAAGCGCCGACCCGACTTGAAAGCGATAGCACCCCCCCGTGTCGTAAGCTACTCCTATATAGAGGCGCGCGTTTAGCGATTTCGCGCCTTTTACTTTTCTTCCGAGAAGTCTTTCGATAGCTGTGTGAGCGGCGAGTGACACCTCCGTTAGTTAACAGCTCGTGGGAATTTTCGACCGTGGTTTCACTATGACGTCATTGCTGGACGAGTCTCATAATTGCAGCTTGAAGAACCGACCGATTTCTCTAGGCATCTGTTGGCCCGTTCAAGCAGTGGGCTGCATTATTTGTCAGATTTTAATAACCTTCGGAGTACTGCGAGTGCACAAGTTTCGGAACTTTGCTCGCTGCAGCAACTATGCGGTGATTATCCGTTTTATTTATTCTTTGCGACCTTCGTATCTCTCTTCGGTCGCGTTCAACCATCTGAATTGCCGTCTGCTGCCAAAGTTTGCGCGAGAAACGCCTCTCCGCGCTTATAGCGGTGTTCTGACGCTGCCTCGCCCGACTCTTGCCATTCTGCGACCCACTGCGGACGCCAGCTGGTCGCCACAGCTGTTCTCAGCGAAGTTCAAGGCGCTCCGATCGCCGGTGCAGCGTTTAGCGCAGGGCTGGTGGCGAATTAAGAAGACCTCTTATCGAAATCGTGTGCGTGTTTGCCGCACGCATACCTGCAGAATCGTCGTTATGTTGATCAAGGCTGCGAGTTGTGTTTTGTCGCAGCGCGTTTTTGTCATTGAAAACTGCTTAGCCGCCTTCGAGGCTTGTCGGCTGATTAATGAAAGCGAATAATCGACTCCCTCCTCTTGCGAATGGCTTGCTGCCGTCTGCTCTCCCGAATTCGTGTAAATTCTGACCGCGCACCACTCCTATTCATTCCTTACAACCCAGTGCTTAGACCGGTCCATTACGGTAAGAAAACAGTAACAAAAAAGACGCAAGTGCAATGATTTCCTAGTGAGTACACTCCCTAGCGGTTTTCTTATTTCTTGTGTTATGAATCCGTGCCGTCTGGAAGTCCCACAACTAATTCGCGTTGTCCCGTGGCAGAATCCGCGGTCGGATCTGCGTTTCTTTCGTTGCGGTTTTTATTTTGCTTGTGACGTGAAAGTGTAACATAAACGTATCGCTAGTGTATATATGCCACGTCATCCTTTTTCGTATATCAGACGCTGGTGCGGCCGTCTGGTTTCTCCGGGTATTTAGTCCCACCCCATCGTCATGTGTACCGTGCTACGCGGAGTTCGTCCAACGCTTAACTAGTCGGAAATCTATAGCCTCTTTGCTTTAGATAAGGTTACTGTTTCCGATTTATGGGGCAACGATTTGCTCGAAGGGTACTGTCGCTATAGTGAAACCAATAGGTGTTTTCTGCAAAGCCTGCGTGCAGCGATTACCGTTCACAGCTCCGTCTACGCGCAAGAAAAAGTAAAAATACACACACGCGCACAAAAAAATAACTGTGGAGGATGCGCTAAAGAGTATTGTGCGTTGAAAGACTTGGTGACTAGTGTTACTGCACGTGGCCTGCCGTTTTAAATGTCGCGTTGAAATTATTTCACATAAAACGAAAGTTGTCACCCGTGGATCGAGTAGAGTCGTTCTGACTGTGTCTGCTCCGTCGCCCGGTTTCTCGCACTCGGTTGAAATTTCTACAGTGCGTACGATGCCTTCCATCACAACTAGTTTAGCAATATATTTTTTATTTTAGAAAATAACGAGTACCAAACGAACATCATTTAATCCTCCCCTCTCTCTTGCGCCCCGCCGCGCTGGTTTAGTGGCTAACGTACTCGGCTGTTGACCCGCAGGTCGCGGGATCGAATCCCGGCTGCGGCGGCTGCATTTCCGATGGAGGCGGAAACGTTGTAGGCCCGTGTGCTCAGATTTGGGTGCACGTTAAAGAACCCCCAGGTGGTCGAAATTTCTGGAACCCTCCACTACGGCGTCTCTCATAATCGGTTTCGGGACGTTAAACCCCACATATCAATCAATCAAATCCCTTATCACTTGTACTTTTTCACCTCAACCATTCCCATTACGTCACTTATATGAAGTGGTTAATTTCGGTCATTCCTCTATGGCTCAGCGAGAGGGACCTCGTTTGGTCGTTAGATAATGCACAAATCACGGCAACGCCGTGATTTGTGCATTATCTCGTGATTTCGGAAGATTATCACGTATACCTGCTCTTAGGAAAGCCTTTCATTTCTGTTTACCAGTCGCAGACGCACTCATGCATCTGACGTCAGCTAAACTAAATCCAGAGTGTATTGTGCTCCCTGCTTTGACCTTGCCCTATACCCACCGTACGCCCATGTTACGCGTTATCGTTGCATCAGCTGAGCAGACGCTGGTCTTGAAATGCCTCCTTTCGTGACTATTTTAGTGTACTCGAACAGACATAGCTTACTAACATTCACCTCTGTGGTGGCTACTCTGCTTGCCTGCTGACCCGAATGTCACGGGAAGGACCATGGCCGGGAACGAGGCCGTCACTTTCGGGTCAGCACGCAGAGTAGCCAGTGTGCCACCGAGGTGGACGTATCGAAATTTTGATGATGATGGCCTAAACGAATGGCTCTCACCCGCTCGGGGGGATTGGCCAAGAAACGATTATTTAGATAGTGATCACACATTACTTTTAAATCAATTAATTTTTTTCGCTTATTATTATTATTATTATTATTATTATTATTATTATTATTATTATTATTATTACTAGTAAGCTTATTAACTGGTCATGAGCTGTAGTTTGTCAGAAGAGTAGGTCCGAAAATTAATAGGCGCAAAACTAAAGTAATGTGCGACAGCCTCGGCAGAAAACAGCACTTTGCGATAGGTGGAGAGACGATGGAAGTTGTAAGGATATGTCTGCTTAGGACAGGTAGTAACCGCGGAGCCGAACCATATGAGAGTTAAATAACTAGAAGAGTAAAGAAAGGGTGGAGCACATTCGGCAAGCACTCTCAAATTATGACAGGTAGATTGCCACTATCCCTCAAGAGGAAGGTATATAACAGCTGTATCTTGCCGGTACTTAGCTACGGAGCAGAAACCTGGAGACTTACAAATAGGGTTCAGCTTAAATTGAGGACGACGCAGCGAGCGACGGGAAAATGGTAGGTGTAACCTTAAGAGACAAGAAGAGAGTAGAGTGGGTCACGGAACAAACCTTGGTTAAGGATATCATAATTCAAATCAAGAAGAAGAAACTGCCATGGGCCGGGCACGTCGGCAGGATAACCGCTGGTCATCAAGCGTAACTGACTGGATTCCCAGAGAAGGCAAGCGCAAGAAGGAGATAAAGTTAGGTGGGCCGATGCGATTAAAAAAGTTCGCAGGTAAAACGTGGCAACAGAAAATACGAGATCGAGAGAGGCCTTTGCTGTCCTGCAGTGGGTGTAGTCAGGCTGATGATGATGATTATTATTATTAACCATTTATAACCGACGTTAAAAAGCTTTTGGCAGCGGTTGTTGCGTGCTGCATTTAGCGGCTCAGAAATTCACCTTCGCGCAGTGTCCCGAGATACGTCCAGATGTAATGCTCCGGGCGAACTTGCACAGATGCAAGCGGACCTTCGTCGCAGATGGGCTTCGCCGCTGCTGTTCGCGTGTCACTGGTGGAGCGGCGCCCACCAGGAGCGACGCCCACAGTGGAGCAGCAAGATACAATTTGAGAAGCGATTGAGAGAAATGGGGGAAGAGCGTTGGGCTAGGAAGGTTTTCAGCTACTTGTACATGAAGAATGTCGATACAAAATGGAGGAAGCGAACCAGGAAGTTGACTGGTAAATACTTAGAAAACAGCAGGTGGCCAAACCAAAAAGAACTATCGGTTAAGAAGAAAGTGAAGGAAACGGAGACTGACATGTGGAGAATGGGCATGATTAAGAAGTCCGCACTAGAGATCTATCGAACTTTTAAGCAGGAAATTGCCAAGGAAAGGATCTATGATAATACTCGGGGTAGTTCTCTACTGTTTGAGGCCAGGACGGGAGTATTGCGAACCAAGACATATCGGGCCAAATACGAAGGGGGTAGATACAGTATGCAGTGCGTGTGGAGAGGAAGAAGAAACTGCCGAGCACTCGATAATGTTCTGTGAAGGGCTTCACCCTATAGTTCAGGGTGATGGCGCAGAGTTTTTCAAAGCACTGGGGTTTAGGGACCGGCAGGGCAAAATAGACTTCAAGCGGGTAGACTTAACTAGAAGGAGGTTATCTGATTGGTGGCTAAAATCAAGGCACGAGTGAAAATTAAACTCTTTACTGCAAAGTACGAATCCTCAAACTCACTTTTTAAGGAAAAAAATAAATATAGTTTTGGATTCATTAAGTACTACGGCTTGGTGGCGCTAGCCACCGCCCGATCTAAAGGGTACAACCATATCCATCCATCCATCCGACTCGATCGAGCAGTCAGTCGTGTGGGCGTCCCACGGAGCGAACGTTCGACGCTGCCTTTCAAGTGGGCACGCTGTGCGTCAAGTACGATCCCAGGAAGTGCGATGCCCTCCAACGTGTAGCTGTGGTCAATGTCGCGTTCAATGGGCCGAATCGGTGCGCGCCGTGCTATACGCTTGGTTTGTCGGCCTGCTCTACCTCCCCTTTTTTTTTATCTCTTCTCATAGTCGCCCGTTGGTTTGATTGCGATGTTTCATTTCATTGCTTACAGAAATGCTTCAGACCACTAAATGATACTCGAATAATACGCATGAAGTAGGAAAAGAGAAAGGA